TTGTTAAGATTTTCTAGGTGTTAACTAAGTTTATTGAAGAAGAAAACACGAAACACAAGTGATTGACAATAAAAGTTAGGGTGCGAGGCGTATGAGGCTGTTTTGGAAGTTATTTTGTGGATGTTTTAAACAAGCAATCATATCGTACATATATGTATGATGTTCTGAAGTCTGTGAACCAATTTATGGAATATAAGTTGGATTCAATTTATGTTTTGTTATTAGTAAAAACGAGTTTGTCGCTCAATATGATTGTTAAGAAAATCGGAGAAGCTCATATTGAATTATATTGGTGTTGTTGATATTGTGGATGTTGTTTGGGCTGTTTTGCGATTGTTGTAACTTGGGGGAAGTCATATAAATATGGGAGGTGTTGTCTGTTTTATCGTAAAATAGGTTGCGGTTGATATATGCTAGTTATGACGCTTAAACGATAACGATAGTATCATTTATCTTATTGTAGACTAAGGAGCCATGAGATTTGCATAGCTTGAGGTTGGGCAGTATATGCTAGGTATGTGAGGCTATCTCTTTCTTTCTTTTGCACGACTCCGATTGTACATAATATAACGAATGCGCTTCCAAAGATACTCCACTCTTACAAGCTAGTAGTACTCATTGTTTCCCTTCTTATGGAAATATTGATGTTGATGTTGCTCCTCTTATTCGTATCAAATGTTGTTGGTATTTCATGGTTCCAATAAGATTTATGATGACGAATTAGCTTTAATAATGTATACGTAGGTTACCAAACTTATGTCACTCCGAAAGGTTTAGAACGTGATCCCATGAGTCCAGCATACATTATATATATGTTTCTATTTTACTCTACCAAGCCGCGATATAGTCGGTCGGGTACGACACCTATTGTGCAACCACTAATCAATTGGGTTTTACCAAGCTCCACGTGGCCGGGTACGATTCTACTGAGTCTTATGATGGCCGGGTACATTTTTACCGAGTCCTCTTCGTGGACGGGTACAATATGATGATGATGATATGTGTGTGTGTGTATATATATATATATATATATATATATATATATAGCATCATGCATTTCATGCCATTCGCCCTCAGAGGCACTCAGATATTACATGTTGTATATTATCTATCCCTCTTTACATTAATATTCTTATTTATGCTTCTTGCCTTACACACTCAGTACTTTATTCGTATTGACGTCCCTTTTATTTGTGGACGTTGCATGTCGTGCTCCAGGTTCTGATAGACAGGTAGACGAAGCTCCCCCACCACAGTAGGCTGCCCAGTTCAACGATTGTTGGCGAGATCACTTCTCCGGACTTGTCGTGGTCTTGGTATGCATTTTTGTTATAAACATTATGGGTATGTCGAGGCCATGTTCCGGCAATGTTGCAGCACTTATGTTCCTAGGCTTATAGATAAGTGTCGACTCATGTATCATTTGGATAGCCTTATCGGCTGATTCTTGTTGTATAGTCTCTCATGGCAGTTTTTCGGCTCTTACCTTATATATAGCTTCATGACAACCTTGTCGGCCCATGGTGTGTATGTTCATGCCATTATCTATCATTATTGGTTGTTCATGATTCATGTCTACCATTTATGTTGATCTCGTCAGCCCTTATAGATAATAAGAAAGGTTAGATAAAATGTACGCTGGTGCTCGGCAGGTATGGCCCGAGTGCCAATCATGTCCCTCTAGTTTGGGTCATGACAAAAAGATTATTTTCCTAATAGGTATTGTTGCGATTCGTTGAAAATATATAGATGAGATAATATATATATATATAATTCAGCGAAGTTTAAAGGTAAATTAGACTAGTTTGGAGTCAAATTCATACAAATGATATACAACAACAATAACATACCCAATAATATCCCACAACATAAGGACAAATGATATACAATATTTAAAAAATTAGGCAAAAAAGATTTTTTTTAATGGGTATGGTTGAAATTCGTTTAAAACATTGAAGGTGATATACAAAATTTGAGCAAGATTGAAGATGATTTGGACTAGTTTGGTATCAAAATTCATAGTTAAAATCCAGTTTAAAAAGTTTTTTTGTGACACATGTATCACGCATGTATTTCACAAACAGGTATACGTTAATATACATGATACATATGTGATACGCAAATGATACACAACGTGGATACACAAATCATCTTTTCCCATGTTCACCTTCTTTTCGAATTTTCAATTCAACCCTCCTCAAAACTTCACTAAATCATCACAAAACCGAGATTCAAATTCCTCAAAATGTACCCAACATATTCCAACAACACTTACTCAAAAGAAAGCAAAAATTTGATCATATTTTGCTGCAAATAGCTAATTGGCTAATATTAGTAGCATTTAGCTAATATTAATAATATTTTATGAATTGACTAATTTTTGTACTAATTTGCTTATGGACGGACATAACTGGTAATTTCCCTTCCTTTTAACTCTCAGCCTGTAAAAGCAAGATCATCCCTGGACGACTAACAAAGTCACATTCCCACAGCAGGAAAAAATACTCTGACCCTGGGAGAACAGTCTGTGCTGAATGTTCTCAATATAGCTCGAAATACTTTGTAGCAAGAGGCAAATCGTTCTACCATGCACATACTTCAAAACATATTTTTCCTTTTGTCATCCGTCCTCCTTCCGTTCACTGGTACTATAGCTCTGCTTGTTCAACAATAAACTTTAATCTTATGAATTTAATGCATACCTCAATGTCACTCTCAGTGTAGACGTCACCTCAACTGCAACTTATCGAGCTTACCTACTCTGAGCATTAAGAATTGAAGCTTATATGTCCTTCAAAAATAGTGCCAGAAGACCATTCTTAGACCTTGCAGCTAACTTCCAAATGCTGCCACAGACACTTCTTAAATGTTTCTTCTGTGCTTCCTTTATGAGGTAGAATTTGCAAGCTGGAGCAAAGAACCAACACTTCATATGGATCCAAATATGTAAGAACCTCGGGAGCTCTATCATAGTCCTAGCAAATCAAGACCAGTGATTGTGAGAAAATCGTAATAATTGTTGGCTACTGTGTACGTGAATCATACTATACAGAGGAGGCCTTGATTTGAACTCTTTAAATTAAAACTGACTACCAATTCCATACCCAGTGACAATAGTTTCTCAATAGCAAGAGGAAGGTCATGAACGACAAATTTAATGGCCTATGTTTTTTGAATTAACACAGCCATCACGTCGACAGATAGTTAACATCTTTTTAACAAAAAACACCAGGAGGGAAGAGCGAGGGGTTTTCATGTCTTTCATTCAAGGGCTACCTCGGCCAGCCGAGCCCATTACAAAACAAGGGTGCCATCTACCACATGAGCAAGTTTCGGAAGGATTGGACCATTTCTATATACAAATTGCTAAAAACTATAGATGCAAGTACAGACACTGAGGTAAATGCAGTTGTCTTAGGATCAGAATTGTACTATTTGCATTTTCTGATCCTGTAAAATATTTAAGTAAAATATATTTGCTATATTAACTGTACCAGCTTGTTTATGTTGGCGTGTATAAACTCCAGGTAACTTGGTTCTGTCACATGTAGTTTGCTAATGACCAGATTCTCAACATCACGATATCTTTTTACAGACAAAATCATACCTATTCGTGAGATTTATTCACCTTTTCTGAGTTCTGATCATGTATTAATCTCTTTTCAGGAAACAAAACAAAGAAGATGATACCTTTTGCAAGATCTACTTACCTTTTCTGTTACAACAACAATAGGCTTCATAGCAAAGTCTGATTGAAGATTCCAAAGTCTCATTCTGATCATGTCAATATCCTAACATTATTATGGACCAAAGTGAATACTCAAGTTTTTGAAAAAGAAAAAAAAAATGAAAATGTCTAGCACAAACATCAATTCATAGAATCCAGGCGGAAAATAGGTGGATGACAGATCTATGAGTGCCATGTTGTGAGAGAAATCACGTTAAATGTCGACCTTCACAGTTACAATGTCCTCGTTACTAGTCTATGAGTAAACAGGGGAGTAAAAAGAGAAGCCAAACAAAAATAGATGATGTCACCTACCTTAGCTTCAAATAAATGGTGGTCACTAAAGTCTAGCCGATCAACATATGTTGGCCCCAGCTGCAAAGTTTTAACAACTTTTTAGAACAGAAGAGAATAATAAGTAGTGGTAATAAAACAAACGAGAAGTTGAATAAAAACTCAACTGCCTCAAAGCTTCAAAGATAAGGAAGGAAAATAGATGGTTGTATGAGCATCAAACAAGAGAATTCAAAACCTGTACCTTCTTTATTGTTTCAACAAAAGATTCAGCAGATCCAATTGCTGAGACACATAAGACAAGTGTATTACAGATGTCCATCAAAGCCAATTTGTGAGACATGTTGCGAGCTTTAAGAAAGTATAAAGGCGCCAATCTGCTCAAGAATATAGGAAGAGAATTTTTTACTGTTCGAATTTCTGATGCTATGGCCTCAACGTCCTTTTCTGAGACCTGCGTGACTCAAGCATATTAAATGGACGTCAGTGATCCTATCTGATTTTCTAATTTTACTAATCAAATGTCATGCTTCACAAGTATCAAGAAGCTATCTCAGATACACAGAAGAAAGAGAGTGTTAATACCAAGTTCGCATGATGGATTACAACTATATCTCCGCGTGCAAGTGCAGTCAAAGGTTCCCTTAATGGTCCAAGTGGAATTAACTGATGGTTCCCCCATGGAACCATTGCATTCACCATTACAATCTCGATGTCACGCCACAAACTGATATGCTGCTTTCAGATTTTTACAGCTAACAAAATGTGAGTACAAGTTCTACGTCACAAGTAAAATAAAGAGCCCACAATCATACTCCTAAATAAATCCTAGTCAGAAGCAAAGCCATTATTCGGTTGGGATATAAAGTCTGGGGACTGAAATAAAAATAGTATCCAATTTTGATTTTTTTGGAAGATCAAATAGTTATAATTATGG